ATTGCCTTTCTTTGGGATTGGAATGAAAACTGACCTTTTCCAGTCCTGTGGCCACTGCTGAGTTTTCCAAATTTGCTGGCATATTGAGTGCAGCACTTTCACAGCATCATCTTTTAGGATTTGAAATAGCTCAACTGGAATTCCATCACCTCTAGCTTTGTTCGTAGTGATGCTTCCTAAGGCCCACTTGACTTCCCATTCCAGGATGTCTGGCTCTAGGTGAGTGATCACACCATCATGATTATCTGGGTCGTGAAGATCTTTTCTGTAAAGTTCTTCTGTGTATTCTTGCCACCTCTTCTTAATATCTTCTGCTTCTGTTATGTTACCATTTCTGTCCTTTATTGAGCCCACCTTTGCATGAAATGTTCCCTTGGTATACTTACACTAATCCTGTGAGGTAGATATTATTTTTCTGTTTTACAGATGAAGAAGCTGAGGAGCAAGAATAATTTGTCCAGGATGACATTTCTGGTCAATGACAAATCTGGAAGTAACAACCAGGGAGTCTAGCTCTAAAGGGCACTTAACTACCAGCAACACTAATGATGATGTAAATCACCATTTTATGAATGCTATAGTAAAGGCTATAAAAGAAAGGCATGGTGTGAAAGCATATAATGTATTTATTTTTATTCAAAGGGCATTAGACTCTCACTTTTTATTAAAATCCATACATGCATTTAAAAGGGAAAAAGTTTAGGAATATGTATGCATATTTATTTTATATCAAATTCTTAAGCACTATTTTCTAGGAGTTCAAGCAACTTTAAAAATTTTATTATGATCTTTTGTAATATCTAATTAAAAAAAAATAATCATCTATTAATTTTATCATTATAAAAATGTTAGTACCCTTTTAATCTTGGGAAAATGCTATAAAAACTGAGTATTTTGATGAAGAACTTATCCTTCAGTGGGGCTTTGGGGGGTGGCATGGGGAAAAACCTGATGTCCAAGGGGAAAAAAATTCACAGTGAAAAAAATCTTTCCATGATTCACCTCTGTGTGGAAATACATAAAAACCACTAAATTTTTCAGCTAAATATTGAATGTGTCCCATGGCTTCAGAAGATCTCACATTACACTCAAATTTTTTAATTCAAAAAGTTTGGTTTAAATCAAATAAGATAAACAGCAGTAAACACCTGTCTTCATGGGAGGTATGTTATAAGGAAAAGCCAATGCCTTGTAACCATTCAGAAGTGAAAGTTGCTCAGTCATGTCTGACTCTGTGACCCCATGGACTATACAGTCCATGGAATTCTCCAGGCTAGAATACTGGAGTGGGTAGCTGTTCCCCTCTCCAGGGGATCTTCCCAACCCAGGGATCGAACCCAGGTCTCCCACATTGCAGGTGGATTCTTTACCAACTGAGTTACCAGGATTCTTTATTAGCTGAGCTACCAGGGAAGCCCTTCCCTGTTTACCAATTGTGGTTAAATGCTTTTTTGGGTAATAGAAGCAGAGGTTGTTTTTCAGAAGAAAAAGACAAAGTGCTCTGATTCCTTAAGGGCTGACATAGAGGAATAAGCCCATGTTGCTATAATCTGCGGAAAATAAACTTAGTATGTATCAAGGAGGGCACAGCAACTCTCCTGGAGAATCCCATGGACAGAGGAGCCTGGCAGGCTACAGCCCATAGGGTTGCAAAGAGTCGGACACCACTGAAGCAATTTAGCACACGCACACACCCACGAATGTACCGCTTGGTGAATTTTCACCAACTGAATGCATCCGTGTAGTTAGCACCCAGATCAAGAAACACTGTTACCGGACCCGAGCATCTTCTCTTCACTACCTCTTAAGAGTCAAAGGTAACCTCCTCAAGGTAGATCCTCTCCCAACTTCCAACAGACCAGATTGGTCCAATCTGTTTTTTATTTCTACCTATAGGATCTTTCAGTATGTTCTCTTTTTCAGTTGGTTTCTTTCACTCAGCATTTCATCTATGAGACTCATCCATATTGTGGTGTATAGATGGCTCATCATCATTGCTTTATAAGCAACCTGTTGTATGCACAACAGTTTTTGGTTATATATTCATTTTCAACACATAGAGCTAAGAATCATTTTTCAGTGGTGTTCAGGTTTTCTTTCTCCAATTCACTAACCCCCTGACATGGAGTTTCCTAAAGGAGTTTATTAAGGAAACTTTTCACTATAGAAAGGAAAATGTTGGATTCCCGTTAATTTTCATTTGTTTAGAGTTTTCCACAATGGGAGATGTTAGCAGGGGAAATATAACATTGTGGGGGAAACACAGCAAATCCACTCTTCGTCATCCAAAGTTGCCAGGCCAGTGTAACTGACATCCTGTGTAAGTCCCTAGGTACTTGAAGACAGGAAAAGATGCTGCCATCTCGCTGCTCCAAAGAAAGTTGGAACCAGGCCCAGGTGTGACGTGGTTTAAATTGGCTTCTAGTCCTGCCCCAGTCTCCTTATCATCATCTGCAGTCTCCTATTGCTCACTGAGACGCCTGGGATTATGACCCTCTTCTTTATCAGTAGATACACACCACCTAAAAATGACTTAACTGAGTCATTTCCCACTATTTCTCCATCACTTACCAAGCCAGTTGAGATCTTAGAGATACTATGAATAAGGCAATTTTCCTAGATATGCTATGACCTTTCATGGGAAATTGTGTCTTTCTGTCAGAGATACTTGGAGATTAAGTATCTAAGGAGATGGATTACAGAAGGAAATGGCAAGCCACTCCAGTATTCTTGCCTAGAGAATCTCATGGACAGAGGAGCCTGGCAGGCTACAGTCCATGGGTTGCAAGAGTCGGACACAATTTAGTTACTAAACCACCACCACCAAGGATGGGAATATGAGTTGACAAATCTAGTAAGATAAAGGAAACCCTAGTGAGACTACGAATCTTCTACAGGCCATGGAAAAAAATTTGTAATTCCACACGAAAGAGTGTGGTCTGCTAATGCCATCAACATTCTTCCACAATGGTGAGGTCAGTCACGTACATGGTCATTGGAAGAGCCAGAAGACTGGTGTTTCCCCCCACCCCCCACCCCCACCCCGGATCTCCCTTGATCTGGTATTACCATGGTCACATCAGGGAAATACCCCTTACCCTGGTACCCCCACTCCAGGCTAATGAAGCCCTGCAGCTCACCGGGAGTCCTGGGCTGCCTGGTACAGGTCTTTAAAATACTGGTGTTTCTTCCTCCTTTTTAGTTAGTTATTTAATAAACTTGCCTTGTACAAAGCAGATACTCAACAATAATAATAATACCTACCTTTCCCAGGGATATTAGCATTTTAGCAGTGGATCCTGAATGCCTCAGTCCAAAGAATAAATGTCAACTTTACTGGTTAGAATAAAAATAATAACAGGCATTAGTTTTCCAAGCATTTGCTATGTGCTAGGTACTACGTGAAGCACTATAAATGCATTATCTTATTTAATCCTCCATTATTCTTATTTTATGAATGATGTGTGGAGCTCTAATAAATTTCTGAAGGTCAGACAGCTGAAAAGTGGCAGAATTGTAATTCAATTAAAGCCAAATTGCAATTCAATTAAAGCCAAACCTGTCTGATTGAAGAGACAAGTTCTTGATCATTACAACATAGACATTGTCCTTTGGATTTTCTTTTCTGCAGTAACAATTCTGCTTTTCACAGTTTTACAGTTTGCAGCCATTATTTCTTTGCTCCATCACATATTGCTGAGCTTTTTTTTTTTTTTTTTTTCTCACACCTGTCCCTGATGCCATATTCTCTTTTTTTCTCACTGGACATAATAAACAGCCAGTTGTTTAAAATAATCTCGATTTTTCAGGTTTATGAATTAAAACACCCTCTAGAGAAAGACTTTTCTCAGCTCTTGGCTTGATTCCTATTTATTAGGAAACATTACTTCTCCTTCCTATTTAGTCTCCATCAGTTTGACTTATTGGTGTTATTCACTGTCATTCAGAAACCTGAAAAGAGAGTTTTAAGCACTTGACTTAAATTACCTGCCGAAGCTTCCTACAGCAAGGTCAAGGCAGAAGGTGAGATGGGGTAGTAGCCCAGGACTCCAGCCAGGTGAGTTGTAGGGTTTCATTAGTCAGGACTGGGGGAACAGGTCTCAGATCCCATTTCTGAAGCATGGTTATGCAAGGATGTTCCCTTCACAATGCATTTGGGTAATAAGGTTAGGCAAGTTACAGGCGATAAAGCCAGGCTGTGGCAAAATCTTAGTTATGATATAAGGTTGAGCCTTTGTGTCATTATTACCATAGTCACTTGAAAAAAAAACAAAAAAGCCCCACTAAAGTAACAGCATTGGAGACAATAAGATTGCTGACATTTCCCTTATTGCACAATCTTCCTAGAAATCCTAGGGCCTGACTCTCCAATTGTGGAATTCTTCAAAAATTGAGATAGTCCAGGAAGGAGAGCCTTTAGAGAAACATCCTTGAAATCACAGTACAGCAGCTGCCAACTATATCTAAACACAGAGCCCCGTGGCGCCGGCATTCGCGAACACTGCACGCACTGCGTTGCTGCGGCAACTCATGCAGCTTTGTGTCCAGGTCATGTATACTCTGTGGATGTTTCAGAAGCATTTGTGGCTCCATAAAGATATACAGAGGAATATGCAGTGGCTGAACTTTTGGCCAAAGGAGATCTTGGAAACCTGTATGGTGACATGGGGAAAACTGGATCTTTGAAGTCAGACTTCATGACTTTGATTTAAGAAGAGGCTCTGGTATCAGCTCTACAATCCTGAACAAGGCAACTGACGTGCTTAAGCTTCAATTTTATCATCAGTAAAATGTCATGCACACAGCCTATAATCAACACCGCATACTATTGTTGGCTCATTTTAAGTCAGTTTTCCCTCTAGACAATGGCCCATAAAAATAATGATCATGCTCATTGCTATATTCTATCATGCCTAGTATAGCATCTGGCAAGGACTAGGTAATCAATAAATAGTTATTAAGTGAATAAAAGCTCTATAACAAAAAAATCTACTGAGATTTTTATTAAAATTAGAGTTATATAGGATTGGATTAATTTTAGGAGTATTTATATTTTATGATCATAAATATATCTTAATGTTTTCTGTAATTTTTTCAATAAAGTCTTATAATTTTTTGCTATAAGGCCACACACATCTTTTGTTAGGTTTATTCCTAGGTATCTAAAATTTTTATAACATTGTAAAGCCTTTTTACAAAAAATCACATTTTCTAATTCTTTGTGTTGATGCTTAGAATTGCAGCTTAACTTTGTATATTATTTGTTCATTGAGTCACCTCTTAAAATTGTCATTAGTTCTAATAACTTATCTGTAATTTCACTGAGGTTTTCTACTCAATTATATCATTTGCAAATAAAGATGATTTTGTTTCTCACTTTCCAGTCCTTATATCTTTTTTCCTTTTATTCCCTATCTTTTTTTAAACTATAGTTAATGTACAATATTATATAGTTATAGTTATTATATATTGACTCACAATTTTTAAAGATTATACTCCATTTATAATTATAAAATATTGCCTATATTCCCTGTGTTGTACAGTATATCCTTGCAACTTATTTGATACCTAGTAGTTTGTACTTTTAACCCCCTAGCTCCATGTTGTCCCTCCCCTCTTTGCTCTCCCCACTGGTAAACACTAATTTGTCCTTTATATCTGTGAGTCTGTTTCTTTTTTGTTACATTCACTAGTTTACTGTACTTTTTAAATATCCCACATGTAAGTGATATCATACAGTATTTGTCTTTCTCCACCTGACTTCACTTTGCACCATGCCTTCCAAGTCCATTGACACTGTTGCAAATAGCAGATCACATTAACAAACTGAAGAATAGCAATCATATGATCACCTCAATAGACAGAGAAAATGCTTTTGATAAAACTAAGCATCCATTTATGATTAAAAAGTGTTCAGAAAGTGGGTATAGAGAGAACATACTTCAACAAGATAAAGGCCATGCATGACAAACCCACAGTTAATATACTCAATGGTGAAAAATTAAAGGCATTTTCTTTAAGATCAGGAATAAGACTAGGATGTTCACTCTTGCCATTTTTATTCAAGGCAGTTTTGGAAGTCCTAGCTATAGCAAGCAGAGAAGAAAAAGAAATAAATGGAATTCAATTGGAAAAGAATAAGTAAGATTGTCACTATTTGCAGATGACTTGATCCTACACAGAAAATTCTAAAGATGCCACCAGAAAACTATTAGAGCTTACAAATGAATTCAGTAAAGTTGTAGGATACAAAATTAATATACAGAAGAGAGAACAAGATGGCGGAGGAGCAGTTGAATGTGGAATACATCTCTCTCCATGGATACATCAGGAATACACCTTCAGACACAGAGGTGCATGCAGAATACCATATGAGAGTGGACAGGAGTACCTGACCAGTGGAAAAGAATGTATAGAATCATGCAAAACTCAGTAGGATGAAGGAAGTAGGGGGAAAACAGGAGTGTTAGTAGGACTGGACCTGCCCTCAGTGGGTGGGGGCACTGAAGCAGGGGTCCAATCCCAACATTGGGGCAATTGTCTGAATCAGAGGAGAAACATTTAAGGCTGAAAGTGAAACAGCTGATCTGTAGCAGCCTAAATGGAATGAGAATCAGACAGTCCTTGTTGCAGCCATACATACCCCGGACAGGGACACAGGTGCCCTGGAAGGTGCAGCAGCTGGGAGCTGGAGTTTAGGGATTGTGGAGCAACCCCAGGGCAAGGGATGCTGTTGACTGTGAAGAGATGGATAGAGGGGATGTGAGGGAGGAGATTTTGATGGGAAATGCCTGTAGAGGAAAGTTAGGCAGCCATGGAAGCAAGGCGATACTGCTGAGTCACACGTAGGGTAGGGAGCCATCACCACAGCCTCTCTCTCCCCACGTGCCAGCACCCGCAGCTGAACAATAGACAGGCTGGCCCATCAAATGCCTGACCGCACTGAACTTCAGAGTAGGACCCCACCCAGGGTGCCCTTTAAGTGTCTGACCCAGGGAGCCCTTTAAATGTCTGCCCTTAAAGGGTGCTCCTTTAAGTGACTGATGTACTGAACTACAAAGTAGGACCCCACCCAGGGTGCCCTTAAGTGTCTGATGCACCGATCTACAGAGTAGGACCCCAGCCAGGGGGGCCCCTCTAAGTGCCTGACGCACTGAATAACAGAGAAGGACCCCAGGCAAGGGAGCCCTCTAAGTGCCTGAACAGGCGGAGCTATGGAGAAAGATTTGCCAAAGAGACCTTCTTATCACCAGCTACAAGAGGCTTGAAAAAAGACTCTGATAGAGCCATAACTCCTGCGATGGAGGCAGTCCATGTCTCTACACACTGCCAGGGTCCCGGCAAGTCAAGCAGCTGAGCCACTTTCATGCTCAACCCTCACTGGGGCAGAGCTGCCACAGGCAAAAAAAGTCTTGCATCTATGCTCGCAGGGTCGCTTTCGTAGTGTCTGACTCTTTGAGACCCTGTAGACTGTGGCCTGCCAGGCTTCTCTGTCAGGAAGGGGAGTTCTCCAGGCAAGAATACTGGAGTGTATTGGCCAATACTGGTTGCCATACCCTTCTCGAGCAGTATAGTTCCTGTTGCCCTAGCCGCCAACTCCCCTGAGTACCTGGTGCTGCCAGAACCCCTGAGACCCAAGCAGCTGCACCACCTCCACACCTGGCCCTCCCAGGGCCAACCCAAGTCCTCAGGGCAGCCTCAGGAGCAAACCCCAATGACGACCCACATGTAGAAGTGGAAATAAAATCACAATTGAAACCCAAGGGCAGTGTGGCTAAGGAAGAAGACCAAAAACCTTACCACCAGCTATATAAGCTGCAGATTAAATCCACATGATCAGCTAGACAGACTCTGTGTCTATGGAATATACGAAAGTCATTGAGAGCTCCCACAAAAGAAAATGCGCTAGTTATGATAGCTGTGGACATTGGAGACAAGAACACACAAGAGTAGGACCAGATTAGAATCTGAGCTGCCCCCACAGCAGGTCCAGAGATCAGCACAGGGCTGGAGGGTATCCTAGGGAGGTGAGGTGGACTGTGACTCCCAGCAAGGGCAAGGATTCTAACAGCAATGACTCAAGAAAAACGTTTATTACTCTTATGCTTTGATTTGTTCTGTAGATCTTTTGGATTTTTTTCTTCCCCACCCCTGCTTTCCCCCTCTGTTGTAGTTGTCAGTTTTGTTGACACTATTAAATCTAATTAAGCTTTTGAGATTTTTTTCTCAGTCACATTTTTTCTTGTTGCTGTAAACCTCTGCCTCTACGTTGGGCTTCTGCAGTTCTGTGGAGTTTTCCTTATTTTTCCCCCTTTTTTCTTTTTTTTTTCTTTCTTTTTTCTATTTTATAATTTTAATTTTTTAAAACCTGTTATATTTTTTCTACATTTATTCCTTGGTTTACCTTTCCTACTGTTCTTTTCTCCTTGGAGTTAATCTTTAATGTGTATAAATCTTCTTTATCTACCTCTATTTAACTTTGCATATTTATTCTTTCTTTCTTTTCTTTCTTTCCTGTCCTTTCAACATATTTGTTAGTTTTGTTTTCATTGCCTTATTCCCCACTTTGCACGTTGAGTTTTGTTTTCCAGTTTGTACTTTAGTTAGTTTTGTTAACTGGTAAATATAATTTTTGATTTCCTTTGTTTGCCAGGACAATCTACTGTACTTTATTTTTGTTGGACTGTTTTGACTTTGCTCATGGGTGTATATGTATATGTGTATGTTCCATTATTTTAATTGGAGAAGGAAATGGCAACCCACTCCAGTACTCTTGCCTGGAAAAATCCCATGGACAGAGGAACCTGGTAGGCTACAGTCCATGGGGTCGCGAACAGTTGGACACAACTGAGTGACTTCACTTTCACGTATCGGAGATGGAAATAGCAACCCAATCCAGTGTTCTTGCCAGGAGACCCCTGGGGATGGAGGAGCCTGGTGGGCTGCCGTCTATGGGGTCACACAGAGTCAGACATGACTGAACTGACTTAGCAGCAGCAGCATTATTTTAATTATTATTTGCCTGATTTGTTTGGGGTTCACCTTTGGTTTCTTGGTTTTTGATATTTGTTTTCATCTCACTTAATGCCATAACAAACCACTTGTGGAATCTTCGTTTCAGACCAGAAATCAAGCCCAGAACCTTTGGAGTGGGAGCACTGACTCCAAGACCCCAGACTACCAGAGAACTAACCCTAGGGGGTATCAAATAGTGAGAACTCACACAAAGGGAACCACTGTGATACAAGACCAGCATCACCCAACCACCAGTAGCACCCTATGCAGGATGCCTCCTCTAAACAACAAGCAAAAAAATACAAACCCAGTCATCAGCAGACAGGATTACAATCTCACTTAGCCTGCCCATCAGAGGAAAAACAAACAGACAAACAAAAAAAGAAAAGCTCAGCACAAATCTCACCCTTACGCAAACTTACACAAACCACTGGACCAACCATAAGCAAGAAAGAATTCAACCTTGAAGCCTGAGAAGTGGAGACCTCAAACACAATAAGTTAAAAAAATTAATGAAAAGGCAGATAAATACTACACAAATGAAGGAACAAACTAAATACACAGAAGTCCAAATAAATGAGGAGGAAATAGGCAAACTACCTGAAAAAGAATTCAGAATAATGACAGTAAAGATCATCAAAAACCTTGAAAACAAAATGAAGAAAATGCAAGAATCAATTAACAAAGACCTAAAAGAATTAAAGAATAAACATATAGAGACAAGTAACACAATTACTGAAATTAAAAATACTCTAGAAGGAATCAATAGCAGACTATCTGAAGCAGAAGACTGAATCATTGCACTGGAAGATAAAATGGTGGAAATAACTTCTGAAGAGCAGAATACAGTAAAATGAATGAAAAGAACTGAGGTTTCAGAGACCTCTGGGACAATATCAAAGGCACCAATATTCA